GGTCAAAAAGCCATAAATCAATCCAGTTCACTCTTCACTTGACAGGTAATACTCTATATCTCTTGTGCATACTACTGCGACAGGTTGAAGGGGCTTTCCTGAACTGGTCTCTTCTCATGCACTGATTTGCTAAGCTCAACAACCAATCAGAGTTGTCACTCTCTCTTACCCACAAGGCCCAACGGGCCAACGCAGATTCGACATGTCTAATCAGCCGAAAAGCCGCCAACAGGGGCTGACTAGTGCCAAAGGTGCAGGACAAACTGGGAGGACCAGCTCCAACAAACACTCACCAATGGCTGACCATCGACATGGTGTGTCTCTGCCCTTAGACTGTCTTTGAGAATGATCTCAGTCTGCTTACGAAACAGAGACAAACCTCTCCTGTTCTTTAAATTGCTCTAACAGGATGACGATGTTTCCTACAAATGAGAAACGTGCAGCAGATCCTCAGTAAACCCTTAATATTCAACACACTGCCAAACTACACACTTCTATTCTTAGATATTCCAGGAAGTACTTAATTGGATCTGCCTCTGACTTATTGAAGGACAACAAGATTCTTTCACAGAGACGCACACGGTCACTTAGTCAGAAATAGCAGCCTAATCAGTCTGTCAGTGTCATCAAGCTGTAGTGAGACCATAGCTTGGTCCCAGGGATGGCTAATGGTATACGTTATCCTTGCACAGATCCTCTAAGCTGATTGGCTGGCTGCTCAGGTCATTCAGCACTACTGGCAGGGCATGGGGCCAATTAGAGATTGTATTGTTTGTCTGTTAGTTTGTACTGCCTCCCATACTTTCAGTCAGACTTCACAGCTGATGGTGAGACAGTGGGATACGCAGCTCTGAAAAGATGCGAGAGAGGCCGTTGAACTCAAATTATAGCTGTGGACTGTCTTTGAATAGTTGTTTTTTAGGCCCACAATTAATGATTATTTTCATTATCGAGTAATCTTCTGCTTATTTTCTTGATTATTTGTTTGGTCTTTAAAACACCTTCCAGAATTTCCCCTTAGTAATAATAAGCATATAAAACTTTCATTTTACATGCACTGTGTGATTTTTGAGGCCAAAATTAGGAGTACTGGTAGTTTTCAATAAAATATCAGCCATTTGGAATAGAAAGGTAATTATTAAATTATATTTTCTTGGTATATCTTGAATATCATCCAAGACCTCACCGAGACAGTGAGTGTGCTTGTATTTTGAACTATTAGATAGTGTGTGAGTGCATGCATGTGTGCTGTGATTGCAGAGGAGTGTAGAAGTCGAAGATCATCAGGGTGATTTCACAGATCTCGGAACAGAACGGAACAGATGTGGCCTCATGCTTCCTGTTTGCTGCTAAGTTTAGAATTCATTGCTCGTCGGAAACACTGTGTACATGCCGTGCATGTGTACATGTCTACATCATACTGTGTGGACCTTTTTTCCCCTACTGCCATCACTGTGAGGACATTTTACTTGGTACTGTGGTGGCAGTACTCACAACTTCAAATGGCTTTTTAAGAGTTGGATTTAGGTTTCAGGTCAAGTGGGTTAGTCATTTAGTTGTGATGGTTAGCATAAGGAGCAAGGGAATGTTTATTTCCGTCGTGGCTGCACAACGTGCACCGTGCTGTGAGCAATTGTGGTGTGGGCCCTGTGCAAGTGTTTTGTACAACAGAAACCATAGTTACAGGGATTTCTTACTTTGATGATATGTTGGAGATCTGAGGTTTTCAAGGTTTTCTGTAAGCAGCTCACATGTAGCTTTTCTGTCCTTGTATTACTCCCCTGAATTGTTTACATGTCAGACACAGTCAGAATGTCAACAAAAGCCCAAATCAGACTGTTCTGTGGTACAACCAGTCATATACTACCTTCTGTGAAAAAGTCACAATAAGGGCCTTCGACAGGGACTCTGGTGCAGTTACCAAACACTTAAAATTGACACTGGACATTAAATCGTAGTGCAAGTTGTGATAGTGTTCATGAGCAACATTTTTAATTTTATTTATTTTTCATTTGTTTTACCATTCCCAAAGGAATCTGAATTGAGCCTGTCATACCAATTAATTTCATGATGCATTTGAGCAGCGTTTTATAAAACACACCTGTTGCTATCACCTGCCTACTAGGACTGAACTTATAAGGCCTATAATTTTAAAGATGCATTTGTTTTCCATATTGTTTGATAAATCCTGTGAAAACGGGACAGGATGTGGTGTCCCCCCTGCAAACTACCTGGCTTTGTGCACAGGGGCAATGTCAGGAAAGGATCTTCCCTGAACTGTTGCCACAGTTAAAAGAACTAGTTTTTTTGCTGCACAATTAAGATTTTCCTGCTTGAAACAGGTGAGATGTGCTGTTGTCTCTTTGTTACATCGCTGCTTATGTAACTACCTAAAATGTGTAAGGGTAGCTTTTACAGGAGGAGCTTTGAAAGCTACATTTTGCATCCAATTCTTCCTTAGTTAGCATTATAAGAAAGCCTCTTATGCTGCTTTTACATGACAACAATGTAATACAAAATGAATTATAAAATTGACACAACTTTGATTTGATTTGATTTATTTATTCTTTCAAGCATGTAAAGACAGTTGATATGTCAACACACATAAGTTTACACATATCCAACAAATGCTAATCCAATATCAATTTGCTTATACCTAGTACATGCTTGAATGGAGTAGGAAGAAGTCAGACTTATCCAGTCCTACCCCATGACATCATCTTACCATCATTGGTTTGCAAGCAGTAAATGATTCACTTCTACACCACACAAGTATTATACTAAAAACAGAATATAACAGTGTTAAAGAATTATTACAAAATGTACACCACACCCACAATGTTCCATCTAATTAATCATTGAGCCTGTTCTTGCATATATCTTGATTGACACATACCTTTATATTTATGTTTAAACTCTTAACTGACCCCTTAAATTGTATCCCCCTTCCCTTTCATTAAATAGTTTTTGAATTCCACCAGGTAATAAATTGTTCCTGGCTTTATACATAAACACAGCAGTCTTGTGTCCCACTAAATCAAAAAATTTTAGTTTAACTTTAAACCAGATCATATTATTAGTATTATTTTTTATTATTATTATTATTATTATCTTCAGGAACCTTTAGTCAGCTGGGACATTTTCCAAGAATAGACCATTAAGACTTGCTTACATTGAATTATTAACATCAAATAAATATTGGTAAGTGCTCCAAAATAAAGCCACATGGTTTTAGAAATGAGCACTATTCTATTTATTTCTATGTTGTCTTTAGCTGTTTGATGTGGTAATTGAACAAGTCCGGTGTTGTTCTCTAATGTAATGGTTTCTGGTGTCACTGTTTCAAATGCTAATCGTTTATAGTTTTTGGTTTTGTATTTTTTATGTTACTCAGCAACAGATAAGCTTTGATTTCATTCTCTTGCTCGTTTTATTTGTTTAAATGCGTTTCTGAATGCATATTGGAAAATAAATCTTGAATTACAATATACCCTCTCAGATTACTGACGATGTTTTACAATTCAAAACAGTTGTTTCAGATTATGAGCAGAGCGATGGGACGACATCTGGGTGCACTATAAAGCAAAATCATAGACTGTATTTTTAAACAGACATTGTTTATCCAGAGCAAGGTGTGTTTCCCTTTCACCATGTTTAAATTTTGTGGCTTTACAAAAAAAGCGAAACCAGGAGGGAAATGCAGATGGATGACAAATGAATGGACAAGCTTAAAGTGAACAACACAAACCATTTAGCGACGCGTCTCCTCTGTTGGAGGGAGGAAACATCATTGCTCCAAAACACATTCACCGCATTTCATCCTCCACATGAAGCCATTCTGTAACCTAGAGCTTCAACCATTAGTCAGCTCACTGATAAAAAGTTAACCAGCAAATATTTTGAAGCAAAACTCACCAACATGTTCTGGCTCCACCTTCTTTAATGTAAGGAGCTGATGCTTTTCTTTGTCAGACATGAGAATAAACTGAATATCACTGGTTTTGTTGGTTGGACACAACAAGACTTTTGAAGATGCCACCTTTGACTCTGAAAAGTCACAATTGGAATTCTCCCCCATTTTTAATATTATGTGAATAATTGTCAGATTAATCAGTGGCTCCTGTGTTGTTGTTGTTGTTGTTGTTGTTGTTGTTTTTTATTTCCACTCCTTTATTCAGGATTTTCTCCCAATTTGTCACCATCTGTAATTCCACAATTGAACAGGGCTCTTGTTGTGAATCCTCCTCATCAGAAGCAGTCAGTCATGAACAAGGGGTCCAGGGGGGACACGATGCTGACACCTTGCTCTACTTGTTGAACTGTGTGTGTGTGTGTGTGTGTGTGTGTTCATGTACTTGTTAAATAATGAGGACCAAAAGATGTATTTTTTGTTACAGAGTGAGGTCATTTTTGTCCTGAAACTCCTTTTTGAGGGTTAAGAGTTGGTTTTAGGCTTCAGGTTAGAATTGGGTTTAGGTTATTATTAGGCTTTTGGTTCTGATGGTTAAGTGTTAAGGTAAGGGCCTAGGGAATGCATTATGTCAGTGAGTGTCCACACAAAGAAAGAAGTACAGGTATGTAGAAGTATAGTCTGGTGGAAGCTGATGAACTGAAAAGTTTGATGTCAACTGTTTGTGGCTCAGAATTAGTTTTATTGCTGTAAATGAAAATGTTCAGAGCTGAATCTTCACATAATGTGACGATGTATTTTTTCCAAACATTAGTCTGAGCAGTTGTCGCCCAAAACACGAACCATAATATAAACCTGATATAAACTTTTTTTTTCCTCAGCTGTTCACTATACCAACAACAGTTTTCTATTAACAGTGGATTAAATGACCATGTGTAATGTGAAGTGTGCTGCTTGTGGGGATTTTTCCATTCCTCTCAGCTCTGCAGACTGTTTTAGCCTCTTTCAGTGCATAGTTTTGGTTTAGTGTAAATGGTCAGAAAATTCAGTTACCACCAATCCAATTTTGTGTTATGTCCTTTCTTTACAGGAAGTGGTGACCTTGTCTAATTGGCATCCTGCTTCTCCCATCCTCCCCCCAACTCTGCCCCCCCCACCTCCTGTCCCAACTGGGTCGCAGTGTTGCCGGCGGTGGATTTGAGCACTCTGATTGGAGCCTTTTTGAGGTGGTTTTCGGTCTGGCGCTGCCTCCCCCTGGGGCCGGCGTGCGCTCCCAGCAGCCCGTGGTGCCCTGTGCTCCCCCCTCCCCGTCACTGCACACCAGAGCCCATGTCCAGGGTAAGATCATGACCAGGGCCATCATGATGTACATGTGCCCTGTGAATGTTCATGCTAAATCTTCCTTTCCCCTGTAGGAGGAGGTGTGGTGCGTCCGCCAGGAGCCATGTGCCTCCCTCACACCAACAACATGGACAGCAAGCTACAGGGTGCGGGGCCAGGGGGAGGGGCTTTACTTCGACAACACGGAGGAGGCGTTCCACTGGAGCCCTTCATACACCAGGTGAGTAGAAATGCTCGTATAAAATTAGAGCTCTGTGTTAATGATATGAATCTTTTTATGCTTTGTCTGAAAACTGTAACGCTTCATGTCAAACAAAACCAAACTGGTTAACACTTCATTTATTGGCAGTATATGCACATTTAATGAGGGTTTATAATACACTTTGTTTTATTTGTAAGCAGGTATGTGTATTTGTCAACTTAGAGTTTCTGCAGGTTAAAGCATAAAATCCTTTAATTTGTACTTTAGACCATAAAATGCCTTAAATATGTTTCTGCTAGATCTTAAAAATGAGTTTAGGTAGATTATCTTAAATAACATTAAATATTACGTTAACAGTATTGCTACCTTTACTGAAGTAAACAATTTGAGTACTTCTTCCTCCACTGAGTTTCAGATAGTGTTAACCCAGCTTGAGCATCTGAAGTGCATGAAGCAAATAAGAGCTCTTGGTTTCCTGTTTGTGTTAATGTTTCTAACCCTCTTTAAGTTACATTTTTCTCAACAGTTTTCCTGTCTGTGTCTTTACAGGTGGGGGGTCACACCAGCATGATGCGTTACGATGACCACACGGTGTGTAAGCCGCTGATCACCAGAGAGCAGCGCTTCTACGAGTCTTTGCCTCCAGAGATGAAGGAGTTCACTCCAGAGTATAAAGGTTGGTCTCAGCTCAAGTGACAACATTGATGACTCGGTGATGTCCTTTTCTGTTTGGTAGAGTTCAAAAACAGAGCTAAAAAAATGTTGACACAAACGACTCCAAACGAAGGACAGTGTTGCTCCGGATCTGCTCCATGTGTAAATAAGTGTTTGCTAACAACAGGGATGGGAATTCCAAAGATTTTGCTGGAAATCCTGACTTTTTGGGGAAATTTCAACACATCCAATTTGCAGTTTAAATCCATTCAAGACATTTACAACATCCATCTGTAACCAGCCTGTCTGGAGCAGGCCCTTATTGTGTTTTTTGGTTTTTGTCATATCAGCCTTTTTTAAAATCAAATAAAACATGTCCACTGTGCATACCATACAAGAAAAAGATATTCATATTAAAACTTGTAATGAATACTTGCCAGTAAGCCTGTATTTTAAGCATTAATGGGGTGGGAGGGTTTGGTAATTGCTTTGTTATATGTTGTAAAATCATTAAGTGGACAAATAAAAAGCTCTCAGGCCCCAAGATATGTCACTGTTGTCTTCACAACCTTGTTCTGCTGAAGCTGCAAAAAAATCAGTTATTGTTGAAAGTGACTCTGAGGTACATCCTGTGCTGTCTGCAGTAAGTCAGGCACGAGTCTAAACAGTGGCCCTGTGTTGACATCACGGTTTGTGCGGCTTTACTCATAAGCACCGAGCAGTACAATATGAAAGCTACCCACAGTCATAATACATAAAAACACACCCTGGCAGATGTCTACATCAGTCATGTTATTGACAGACCATTTCAAAGAGCTGCACGACATCATGTAAAATGATCCTGCTTACAGGACTTTGGATGGACTAGATTCTTTTGAACCATTGTTGAAATGGCTCTAATAGAAATCACTCATATGTTTTGTCTCATATATTGCCAGACTGAAATGTTTAAATGATTAAGCCAGGCGCTCTCCAATGCGCCTGTTTCCCATTCAGGTGTGTAAAAGTATAGTTCATGTATTTTGGCAACATTTGGATTCAGCATGTTGTGAGAAAAGTGTAGCGTTTATTCGATTTTTGCGACGCCCCCAAACTTGAACTTGTGTTGCTTTTGGAGAAGCTTAAGCTTTTTTAGGAGAGGTGAACATCCCTAAAGCCATCCCATAATTCAAACACTGCTCTGAATAATCTTTACTCCTCTGTGTTTGGTGATGGTAGAGGGACAAACAGACGGAAGAGATGGAAGGAAATGCGGATGTTTAATGGAAGTGAAGTGGTTTAGCTGCTCTGCTCTTTATCACCAGATACACACTGTAGCTCTTTCCATTTTCATTTAGTATAGTAAAACACCCAAACACACACATGCTGTCTTTTCATTCCTTGTGGGAACTTTATATGTTGTCACCCTAAAATTCAACTAAGTCACTGTGGGGACCACCCTCTGGTCCTCACAATGTGTGTGTGTTAACAGGTTTTGGTCCCTATAATGTAAGTAATACAAACACACTTGGACAACTAGCATATACACACACACACACACGCACCTTCTACATGTATGTGACCAGTTTATAGTTTTAGCAAATGCTGTAAAGATGAAGAAGTAGCAACATGCATGAGTAGATAGCTAGTACTTCTAGTGTAGCTGTAGCAGACTGTGGATTCTCATGGTTCTCATTATATTTTGTACCTCTTCAGTCTTCCCAAGAGTCCAAGACTAACCACCAAGTACATTAACATCAGAGGCAGTTGTACTTTCTTCCAGGAATTAGAAACACCAGGAAACAAAGCAACACAAGGGCCCTGGCACTGAAACACTTACAGTACAAATGGAATGCACTCATTACTATGATGTATTAGCCTATTCTGGTCTGATGGAAAGACGCCAGTGAAATGTGAAGGGTCTGGTAGGACATGAGCTGTGTCCCAGTTACTGCACACTGATTTTAAGCAGTTTGGGAAACTAAAAACAAATTTATTTTTTTTTAATTGTGAATTCCACAATATTGTTGTGCTACTCACAGCTGCAAAAGTACATATCAGAGTGTGGTAAGAAATGTCTGGAAAGACAGAAAAGTAGGTATTAAATCTCCTGCAAACCCACAGTGACTCACACAGGTGTTTTCATCTGCTCTGCTTGATTAGATGTAAGGACTGTGTAGGTGTGTGCTCTGACTGAGCTAGAATTACATCACTTTCACTGTCCTGTTGACTCTATTGCACCTATTCATGTGGGACAACTTATACTTTTATCACTCTTTGTGGCTGCACTCTCGAGCAGTTTGTGCGTGGGTTTGTTAAGGTTATGTTATCCCACCACAGATCTGACCAACTTCAGCCAGAACTGAAGTCCAGTCATTCTTCCTGGCAGCTCCTCTCTACCTCAGTCAGATTATGTGGGAAGTGTCTGTGAACTCTTCGGGTCTCTCCACAGATGTTCTCTGGGGTTTATGTCTTTGGCTGAGCCCCTTAGTGACATTCAGTCACTGGTCCTGAAGCCACTTCAGCCCAGTCCTGGCTGTGAGCTTCAGGTCACTGTGGTGCTGAAAGGTGATCCGTCACTCCAGTCTCAAGTGACTGCACTCTGGAGCAGGTTTTTTTCAAACACCTCTGTATGTGGAGTTTAGTTTTTGTCTTATTGGACCAGAGAGTCTTTGTCCTCCTGCTCTGAGTCCTTTAGATGCAGCATTCAGAATTTTACTTAAGTAAAAGTACAAACTGACCCTAGGCCGGAGGTTGATGATCGACTTTGTGGTTGTTTCATCTGACCTCCGGCCCTGTCTTGGACCCTTGGGTGAAGAGAGGGGCGGAGCTGTCAACTGATCACCACCTGGTAGTGAGTTGGATCCGATGGCGGGGGAGGAAGCTGGACAGACTCGGCAGACCCTGTTGGGAACATTTGGCAGAACCCCCTGACCGGGAGATGTTTAACTCCCATCTCTGGCAGAGCTTCAACCAGATCCCGAGGGAGACTGGCGACATTGAGTCTGAATGGACCATGTTCTCCACCTCCATTGGCGATGCGGCCGCTCGGAGCTGTGGCCGTAAGGTCTCTGGTGCCTGTCGTGGCGGCAATCCCCAAACCCGGTGGTGGACACCGGAAGTAAGGGATGCCGTCAAGCTGAAGAAGGAGACCTTTCAAGCCTGGTTGGCTCGTGGGACTCCTGAGACAGCTAACAGGAACCAGCAGGCCAAGCAGGGTGCAGCCCGGGTGGTTGCGGAGGCAAAAACTCGGGTCTGGGAAGAGTTCGGTGAGGCCATGGAGAGGGACTATTGGTCGGCCTCGAAGAAATTCTGGCAAACCGTCCAGTGCCTCAGGAGGGGGAAGCAGTGCCCTGCCAAAACTGTTTACAGTGGAGGTGGGCAGTTCTTGACCTCGACTGGGGACATCATCGGACAGTGGAAGGAATACTTTGAGGATCTCTTCAACCCCAGCATCACATCTTCCGATGAGGAAGCAGAGTCCGGGGGCTCAGAGGTGGACTCGTCCATCACCCAAGCTGAAGTCACTGAGGTAGTCAAGAAGCTTCTCAGTAGCAAGGCATCGGGGGTGGATGAGGTCCGCCCTGAGTACCTTAAGTCTCTGGATGTTGTGGGGCTGTCTTGGCTGACACACCTCTGCAATGTTGCATGGGGGTTGGGGACAGTGCCTCTGGACTGGCAGACCGGGGTGGTGGTCCCTCTTTTCAAGAAGAGGGACTGGAGGGCTGGAGGGTGTGTTCCAACTACAGGGGGATCACACTCCTCAGCCTCCCCGGGAAAGTCTATGCCAGGGTACTGGAGAGGAGAATTTGACCGATAGTCGAACCTCGGATTCAGGAGAAACAATGCGGTTTTTGCCCTGGCCGCGGAACACTGGAACACGCCGCCGAGTGTGAAGCGGCTGGGATGAGAATCAGCACCTCCAAGTCCGAAGCCATGGTTCTCAGTTGGAAAAGGTGGCTTGTTCCCTTCAGGTTGGTGGAGAGTTCCTGCCTCAAGTGGAGGAGTTCACGTATCTTGGGGTCTTGTTCACGAGTGAGGGAAGGGTGGAACAGGAGATTGACAGGCGGATCGGTGCAGCTTCTGCAGTAATGCGGTCGATGTACCGATCCGTTGTGATGAAGAAGAAGCTGAGCTGTAAGGCGAAGCTCTCGATTTACTGGTCAATCTACGTTCCGACTCCCACCTATGGTCATGAGCTTTGGGTCATGACCGAAAGGGCTAGAGCTGCAACGATGCGTCGACATAATCGACTACGTCGACCACGGAAATGCGTCGACATAAAAAAATGCGTCAACTTTTTTTATTAAAATTGTCTACTGTCCACACTCCAGTTCACTAGGTGGCGGTAATGCACCTTTTACACTTGGTTGCCACTCGCCAATAAACCCCACGGCATAAGAAGAGGAAATACGTCACGACGCTGCATGATACTGTGTTTGCGCAGATAATGGCGGCTGCTAATGCTCGTCAAAGCGATGATGCTTTGCACAAGGCAATATCACGAAGAAAATCAAAAGTGTGGGAATATTTCAGACAGAGGCCGAATCGAACGGTTATCTGTTCACTCTGCGACAAGGAGATGGCATTCCAAGGTTTCCCACCTTAGACATGCTTGCAATGTGTTACTTGTCTGTGCCTGCGACGTCAACCCCATCTGAACGCCTTTTCTCAGTTGCCAGGAACATTGTAAATAAAAAAAGAACAAGCCTGACTCCAGAGCATGTAGACATGCTTTCATTTCTCCACTGCAATGCTGTTTGAGCCCTTTCTGACTGACAGTGATATGCATACTTTTTTTAGATTACCTGCCTATGTTTTGAACTGAGTAAAGTTACT